TCTTTGGAGAAAATATCCACTTGACACTTTTGTGTCCTGTTCAGCTGCCTGGACTTGGTCAAACAGAGCAGCTAAGGTTGTGTCCTCCTGCTGGGCTGCAATCAACTCACTGAGTGACAAAGGAACAGGAAGAGTTGGCAAACAGGCAGTCTTCTCAAGAATGGAACTAGGCTCACCAAACTCAACCTCCTTATCAGCCACAGTTACTGCACAAGCTGGAAAAGCCTCAGGAAAGTCTCGAGCACATACGTCTGACAAAGAAACGGATGGACAAGCTCGGACCACTGGAGGGGGTGCAACATCTCGCCACACACGTCCACCTGCCAGATTGTTTCCTAGAATGAGAGATACACCTTCCACAGGCAAAGAAGGACGAAGAGCTATAGTTACCTCTCCTTGTACAAGTTCTGACTGCAAGTAGATCTTATGAAGAGGCACAGAGAAAGTCTCCAACCCAATACCTCTAATTAAGACACTACAACTAGTATCAGATAAAGGAGAAAATGGCAAAACAGATTCCAATATGAAAGATTCAGATGCTCCGGTGTCAGGTAGAATCTTCACAGCCACTTTATTTGAACTGCCACTCAAATAAACAAACCCATTTGTGATGAAGGGTGTATAGTCCTGTCCGACATCCTTCTCACAAATCTGGGGATCTGTAACAGTCAGTTCTGAAAAAAACTTATAGTCAACAGGTACAGCTAAAACAGTTGGTCTTACACTTTCAACTTTAGCTGGATGTGTAGACTCCACTGAATGCAACTGTGAAACGCTGGCTAAAGCAACAGGTTTTTGATCATCTCGTTTACTCCTAGCCGATTTAATTTTGGTATTCAGAGGACACTCATTTTTCCTTTCTGGCGACAATAGTTACAAACAGAGTCTGCTTTAGCTTCCACTCCAGTCTTACCAGAGAACCAGTCATGATGAGATTCCTGAAAGCTATAGCTGCCTTCCCAATTGTAATCCCTCACAGTTTTATGGGTCAGAACATACTCATCTGCCAAGACAGCAGCTTTAGCAGCAGTTTTTACCTTTTGCTCGTTAACATATGTGGCAACCCGAGCTGGAATAATGGTCTTGAACTGTTCCAACACCATCAAATCACAAAGGGATTCAAAGTCCTTCACACCTTCAGCTGATAACCAACGATAAAACTGGGTGTTTAGTTGTCTGACTAGATCTGTATTTGTCTGTTTTTCAGCCTTCCTGCAGTTCCTAAATTGTTGCCTGTAATGTTCGGGAACCAGTTCATAAGCCTTCAAAACAGCTTCTTTAACAGATTTGTATACCTTTCTTTCAGCTAATGTTAATGAAACATAAGCTTCTTGGGCCTTACCCACCAGCACACTTTGCAGCAGAATAGAACAATCACGATCACCCCACTCATTGTCCTCTGCCATGTCCTCAAACAAAGAAAAAAACACATCAGGATCTTGTTCATTAAACTTGGGTACCAGCTTCAACATGTTAACCAAGTTATGTCCAGAAAACCTATCACCACCTTGAGACAGATTGAAAGATCCACCACTTAACCTGCCCTCAGACATCAACTTCAAGCGCTCAGCTTCCAACGATAATTTCTTAACCTCCAACTCATGTGCTAGCCTCTTTTCTTCGTGTTCATGCGCTAGCCTCTTTTCTTGTTCATGTTCATGTGCTAGCCTCTTTTCTTCTTGTTCATGTTCATGCGCTAGCCTCTTTTCTTGTAAAGCTAGTTTTCTCTCCTCAAGCTCATGTGCTAGCCGCAATTTTTCCACCTCAAACCGCATTTCCATCTCAGTTCTCATAGATTGAACCTTTAATTGAGACTCTTGAGATACCGTTGGACCTGGCGAGTCATCATCCAACTTTGAAGCACCAGCCCCGGGAAGTTACATCTGACACATCAGCATCTGAAAAAGAAATGGCAAAGACATTTAGTTGTACAAGTTTGTCTTTTAAGAAACTCCTTAATTGGGGTTTTTTAAATCCTTTTGTAACTCCAAGGTCAATTTCAAAGTGTTCAGCTACTTGATGCATCTGCTCCTTAGTAAGCTTTTCCAACAGTCCTAAAGTTGGGGAAGCCAAAAAAGAACCCACAGTATCCATTTTCAACAAAAAATAATCCAACAAACCAACCTAATCAGAAAACACCAATTTTCTTGTTTGTTTGTTTTTTTTTAACCAACAATCAGGAAGTGCATAACTGGTACAAACAAATGGCAAAACTCCATTATCCTACCACTAACTAACCGATCAAAGCCCTGACTAACCTTAGCCTAGTCTTCAGGCTTTCCTCCAAGAGCCAAGGCACTTTAAGCACCAAGATACCGCTGGCAGCAAATCCCTCCAGGCCAAAACCTCTCAGGCAGCAAACCACGGCGGTGCCCTCAGCCCAGAGTCCAGCCCAAAAATAACAAACTAAAATAATAAACAGGGTCGACTAAAATGGAGTTGCCAAACAACAAACACCAGATAGCACTTACCTGACACAAAACAAAGAGACCCCCCCCCCCCCCCCCCCCCCCCCCTCTAACAAAAGAGCAAAAATCCTCATGGACCTCCAACAACAGACATATGGAACACCAAAAATGTCCAAAATCTAGTAAGGTTCTGTTAAAGAAAAATGATTATTTTTAGACTTTATTACAGTTAATCTTATGGCATGTGTAAACACTCTCGCTTGAACATATTTCTTAATTTTGAACAAGGCTGTGTTAATGATTTAAAACTACTAATGGGTAAGTATTCAAAGCACAGGAGGCCTTAAAATGAGTATCTCCTGGGGGGTGAATAACAGTTGAGCCTCAGGGGAGAGGTCTCCTTGGTTTACAGAAGATCAAAGGTCTTCCAGAATAAACCTCTGAGATGCTGTGATACTGAATAAAATGTAGAATGTTAAAACACTAACATTTAGTTTTTAAGACATTTTTCTAAGTATTAATATCATGTTTTTTAATTGAAAGTTGTACTATCTGTGTGAATATCAGAATCAAATTGAAATTGTTTGAATGAAAATGTTTTGTTTACTATTAGAAAATTGCTCAGGATATATGTTTAATGGGGTAATTGAATATGTTAGATTGAATATTATGTTTTATATGTGAGAAAAAGGAATTGTATCTCATGTTCTGTTGATTCTATGTGGTTTAAGGCAGGATTCAATCTTTTGGGGTGGAATGGTGCAAAAGAGCAAGATTGAGCTGTGAAGATAACCTTTCCCTGAACCAAAATACTGAATTTAAGTTTGTTCTTGAGATTTATGGCAGGAAAAGGGGCCCTCAACATTCCACATCGATTCTGTTAAACTTTATCTCATGACAGCCAGATGACCTTAGAATCCAGTGGGGGGCCCGGCCGTAAATTAGTTTTTCTGAGTGTCCAAAGTAGCTTCCAATTGGTCAAGCTGGACGACCTTATACTAAAGGGAAGGACTTATCTACATTATAAAATTTTGTGCACAGGGGCAAAAATTCAGATAGCTGCCATTTTTTTGCTTTTGCACCAGCTCTCTCCAAAGACGCATCTTTGCCTCTCTCTTTTCTATTTTTCTTTACCTCAGGTAACTGAATGTATGTTTCTGTTGTTCTGCAGTTTCTGGTGTAGGTTTGTGCATTGTCTTATTTCTAAGTTTATGCATTGTCTTATATTGGATTAAACTCTGTAATTCTGTGATGTCAACACGCCTTGCTGATTTTCATATTACCAAACGCAGCTCGCCGGGTGGACCTGGAGAGGGAAGAAAATGAAAAGCCAACCTTTTTCCAAAGTTAACTATGTTAGAATATTTTCTTCCTTTACAGTTCCAAAGACCTTAAAGTAGCCCAAAAACCCACAAACATCTTGCAACACAGGAAAACCAAAATCAGGGGCATGTAACTGCAACCTGAAGACAAACAATGAGGCCAATTAAGCATAATTAGTCCACATGAATCAGACAAGCCCCCACAATGTTACGTCCACCTGGCTTGTTAGGTGGGGTAACATTAATGGAGACCACACAAGGATTTTCAGAGTTAATAAAAAAAGGAAATTTATTAAATTATATTAAGTAAAACCTGAAAAAGGATTACTTGAAATAAGAAGCCAAAACAGATTAATACAAAACCCATAACTAGTGATGGGTCGGGCAACACCGATGCGTCGGCGCATGTGTTCGTCTCATAGAGCGAAACCTGTGTCGACGTGTGTATCGCTACGGAAAAGTCCGAAGTCCGAAGACCGATGTTTCGAACTGATTGACAAGCCTTTATAAGGAAGCGCATCTGCCAAAACAATCTTGCGTGTTTTGCGAATATAAAATTCATCAAAAAATTATGGAGCTTCCTCAAGCAAAAAGAAAGGTTTCTGCCGTGTGGGACCACTTTGATGTCATTTCGGAAAATAAGGTATTTGTTTTAATTTCCTTGTTTCATCCTGTTCCTCTCAGAGTTTCCACTTGATTTTCTGAGTAGAAATTCATTTCAAAGTGACCTTTAGTTTACTGTTCGTGTTATTTTCTGCAGGTTAAATGTCGCAATTGCTCAACAGAGCTTGCATATTTAAATAACAGCACCTCCTCAATGCTGAGGCATTATAAGGCCAAGCATGAGCGTGAAATCCATGATACACCCATGATGAACTCAGGTATACAGGTATTTTACAACTTACTGACTTTGTTTTATTGATAATTCTGAATAATTTACACTTTCTCATTTTAAACCATCAAGCTTCCAGGAAGCAGATGCTTGATGAGGCTGTGCTTAATTTCATTGTAAAGGACTGCCAGCCCCTCGCTGTTGTGGAGAATGAAGGGTTCAGGGAGCTGGTTCAGCTCCTTGAGCCCTCATATGTTTTGCCAACCAGAAAGGTTTGTGTGGAAATTATCTAAAGTGGTAGTTTATTCATCAAATTTATTTTAAATATATTGATTTTCTTCTGGTTTGACTTGGTGTGGTTTTCAGACCATCAAACAACTGTTGGCCAAAAAGTGCGAGGAGGAACGGGAACGAGTGAAAATGGAAGTACAGCAGGCTGCGGACAGAATGTGCCTCAATAGTTGGAAGCTCAAATGAGCCCCAGCCGGGAACATCTTCACAACAGCTGTCTGCCCCCACTTCAGGCATGATATTGAGCATCATTTCTTTGTTGTTTTTAAATCATGTACTAAAATACTATTTTTATTTTTTTTTTTTAGATGACCTTTGGGAACATTTTGATCTCGAAGTGGGGAGGCAGACCAAAAGTGCCACAGCTGATGCCATCCTTGAGGTGCAGAGATACATGGCAGAGGGCAATATTGCGAGGTCCCAGGATCCTCTTGTATATTGGAAAAACCAAAGGACGGTTTATCCAAACCTCTTCCGCCTGGCCTTAACATTTTTGTGCACTCCAGCTTCATCTGTGCCGTGTGAGCGGGTGTTTTCCACAGCTGGAGAACTAATATCAAAAAAGTGCAACAGACTGAATTTCAAAACGTTGCAACAACTTATTTTTTTGAATAAAAAATTGTAAAAAAAATACCAGTGAACAAGCATCTTCATTTACTACATGTTTACTTAGAGATTATTACATTATGATGCAGGTTCTCATTATTCATTGACTGTGTCTAAAATATCAAATATGTTTTAATAATAATACAATGCATCATACAATGAATTGCATCATATTAGTGTATATAATAGGTCATCAAATCAGTGTCAGTTAACTCTGTCAGCTAGGTTGCCTGTAGGGATTTTTAATGTCCAGCAGGTGTCAGTATTCAGTGACACAGTATCGACACTGTATCAATACAGTTTGGTAATGTGTCGAAACGTTTCATGACGCCTCATCAACCCATCACTACCCATAACCAATTAGAAATAAACAAACGCAAAACAAACCTAACAAAACTCAATCATAAGGTCCAAACCAAACCAACTGAAGTTCTGAAGAGGGAGAGGAGGAAAAAAGCCTGCTGACTGCTGCAGCATGACAGCTTTTAAAGCAGCAGAGCACCAATCAGGGAAAAATCATAACACCTGCAGAAGGCCTGCCTCCAGGACCCTAAAAGAAAAAGCAGAGACCCACTGCAGCCGTAACAACCGACACGGATTACAAACACTTGTAGCACTAAAATTGACCTAATCTTCACCAATCATCCTGAACGGATCACAAAATCATACAATATGTTGACTGGTCTCTCAGATCATAACATGGTGCTGATAACAAGAAAATTAACCAGACAGCGATTCTCAGCCTATTCCGGAAAGAAGGAGTTCACTGGCATTCCAAGGAACAAACAGGAACAACTTTACACTGCAATTAGAAATATGAACTGGGACATTCTACTATTGGATAATGAACTGGAAATAATTAGTCAGAAATTCACTAAATGCTTACAGACAAAAATTAATGAATTTGCAGTGACACTTAAACACAAAAGCAGAAAGTGTTCTCTTCCCTGGCTCAGTGACGACATCAAACATTTAATGAAAGACAGAGATAATGCCCTTAAAAAAGCCAATAAGTCCAAACTATCTTGTGAGAGACAAAAATTTGTTTCATTACGGAATAAAGTGACAAGACAACTACGAAAAGCAAAGGCAGACTTTTTTATCACAATTATTAAAAACTGTCATGAAAACCCAAAAGCTATTTGGGGACAAATTACTAAATTAACAGGTACAACTTTTTCCAGTAACAATTTAATACAGTTGAAGAACAATGGCATGCTTTTGCAGGATCAGACTGATGTGGCACAGACACTAAATGAATATTTAGTTGATTCTGTTGAGACCATAGTCAAAAGTTTTCCTGTGAAATATAACAACATACCTGCCATTAGTTCAGAATTGTTAATTGAGCCCCCACTATATCCAACATCTGTATCCATATCGGATGTGGAAAAGGCAATTAAACAGCTTAAGTATTCAAGAGCAAAAGACGTGTATGGGATGGACACACACATGTTAAAACGAATATGGGTTCACTAACACATCATTAATATGTCACTAGACCAATGAGCCATGGAAATTTGCTAGCGTCATTCCCATATTTAAAGGTGGTAACTCTCTTCTGACATCTAATTATCGACCTATTAGCATTTTGCCAACATTATCTAAAGTTTTTGAAAAACTGGTTGCAAAACAATCATTAATCATCTTAATTGCAGCTCTTTTCCTTTACACTCAATGCAGTTTGGATTTAGGGTTAATCATTCTACAGAGACGGCAACAAGTTATTTTATGGAAAAGGTTAAATCCAATATGGACAAAGGAAGGATAGTGGGACAAATCTTTTTAGACCTTCGTAAAGTTTTTGATACAGTTAATCATTCAGTTTTACTGTACAAACTCAGTGCATTTAATTTTTCCTCCAAATTCATTAGCCTCATTAATTCATACCTTTCATCTCGTTCATAAAGTGTAAGAATTGACCAATACAATTCCACCCCCTTACTATTATCAACTGGTGTTCCACAGGGATCAATTGTAGTTCCAATTCTTTTCAGTCTATATATTAATGATTTACCATCTGTGTGTAAGAACTGTGACACTCTGATGTATGCAGACGACACAGCTATCTTGGCTTATGGAGAATCCACAGAGGAAGTTGCTGCAAAACTAACTGAGGCCATGTCACTGATCTCAACCTGGCTTGAGCAATCCTGTCTGCAACTGAACATACAGTATCTAAAACAGTTACCATGATTTTTTTCAAAAAACAACCTCATAAATATAGAACCGGAAATTTTAATATCTGGAGAAAGATTACAGGTCGTCACTGAATATAAATATTTAGTTTAACATATAGATTCGCATCTCAATTTCAAAACTCATATCCAAAGAAGTTTAGTTTAGCAAACTTCAGATTCATTAGAGATTTTGTTTCAACTGAAGCTGCTAAATCATATTTTTTTTCCCATGATTTTATCCCATATAACATATTGTCTAATAAGTTGGTCCAATACTCACTACAATAAAACCATTAGAAACATTATATAAACAAGCATTAAAAATACTGGATAAAAAAACCATACCATTACCATCACTGTAGCATTGTGAGGAAATATCAGTTACTTACCTGGAACAATCTTATCAAGTTCAACAACATCTGTTTAATTTATAAAATCAGACATGGTTTAGCACCAGCTCCACTATGTGACTTTGTACAGTTCAGATCCAGTGAGGTCAGGGTAACCAGAGGGGCAGTGAGGGAAGACTGCATCTTCCCCCGGAGAAAAACAGCCTTTGGTCAGGCTGTCTTCTCCGTAAGAGCATCTCAGCAATGGAACACAGCGCCAGAAACCATCAGAGACTCTTTGTCATTCTCTTCATTCAAAAAGAATGCAAAAAAAATGGCTTGTAGAGAGACACATTTGTGGGCACTAAGGTTTTCTGTGTTGTTTAAATAATTTATAATTATTTTACATGAATTGTATTTCTTAACCATAATGTTTTTTATGTAATTGGTATTGTAATTTTATCTTGTGATTTTATACTTGTGTTTAGGTTGCCTTTTTAATATCTGGCTGGGGGACAACCGATGAAAATTAGCGCTCTTTAGCTAACTCGGGTATATTTACATTGTTTTAATGTTGATTAATGTACACTGTCCCCTTTCAAATAAACAATAAATGAAATGAAAAAAAAATGAAAACGTACTTTTATTGAACAACAGAAAAGAGAACTTTTAACTTTCCATGGAGCGCTCCACTGGAAGCTGCTGCTGCCGCAGTTCATGCTACTGTTCAATAGTTGTTGCCATCCTCCTTGTTGTGCGTTCTCCAGCGTCGCGCAGCTTTGACGTCGCGCCCTCAAAACCCCGCCCACTTCGCATCCAGAAATTCAAAACACATCTCTGCATTGTGATTGGGCCGCCAGATTTAGGGCCTGGGGCATTGATCCAGGGTAGACCACTGCAGGCAAAAATGATTGATTTTGGCCGCTGGCTGGTGGGGCTAGTTTACTATGGAGCTTAATGAATATGGATCCTGGCAGGCTCGGACTGGGAACGATTTTCGGCCCTGGCATTTTTCCATCTACACCAGCCCACTTATGGACCCCCCCCCCCCCCCCTGTTATTAACACGGACGCCACAGTGACTGCTGCAGCCTAACATCCACACTCACATCAGCAGGGTTGCCAGATGTCACTGACTCATGTTTTCCAGCCCAAAAAAGGTTCATAAACCACCTGGATATACGCAAATTCGTCCAATTACAACCAAAGTCTATTGATCTCTAAGGCCATAAATCTAAAGAAAAACATTTTTTACCCATAGACGGCCATCTTAAACTGCCAGATTGGGAAACATCCCAACCTGGCAACAATGCACGTAAGACCTTTAGATGCAATAACCCCATCATGCACCGCAACATATTTTTGCAAAAATATTTAAACATTTAAATCGCCAAATATTCGAGGAACATCATAGTTTGGTTTAAAGAAAGAATTTTAGATTTATTATAATTTAGTTTGTTGCAAGGATTTTACAGTTTAAAGTAATACAAAATTACACCATATGCCAACTGTCACAGGATGAGCATGACAGGGAAGGGCTTTATATACTGCATGCATCATTGAGGTAGTTAACATTGGATTACTTCTAGAGCTCCTTGAGTTATTTACTGTCACGGATAGGAGCTTCAGCCCGAGGCTAGGTACGGTATGATTTAAGGAGGGCTGGCCCTCCTTAAATCATACTGTATTTTTTTTACTTTCATGTGGCAGAAGCGGGCTTCCATACTAAATGGTGTTTTCCTAAATCATAGAGATTTTACCAACAAATGTAATCTGTGTTGTAGTTGTAATGAATACCTAAAAGTATGCAAAGATATTCCTGTAGCTCTGCGAGCCTCATCGGTTCCTGTCGGTCTCCACCTGGTGGAGCCGGAGGGGGGCGCTCCTGAGTCACAGCAAAGCTTTTCTACCGCAGGTCCTCCAAAGAAGAAGAAGAACTTTAACGCGACGTAAAAGTGAAAGAAGAAGAACAGCGTCGTGTGTTAGCTATAATGACAAGTTGCTAACAGTTACTGATAGCCGACAAGCATAAATGTGAAGAGAGAAAAAAAGCTGCGGGAAAAGTCCGACAGCGCTGCGGAAGGTCATGCAGCAACCCGGGAGGGAATGAGCCGTAAAGCCCCGGGGGTTCGGCTCAGCGGCGCCCACAAACTGCGGCCTCACTGGAACTACTGGCAGCCCAGGTTGGTTGGTTCGCCTCTCCGGGGCCTGGCTGTCTTTCTGTCCCGGCTGGCGGCAGTGTGGGAACCACACTCCTCCACCTTCTCCGCTCCACCCGTTTATCCTCTCCGTATTTACCGCGTTTTATTTCAGGCTCCTCGGAGCGGCAGCAGGTTAGCTCCAGCCTCCGCCACGGTGAGCCCAGCTCGGGGCTACCGCCGCCCGCAGCGGGTTGGGACCGACGGCTGTTAGCGCCTAACTGACCATAGACCGCTGTGATACCTAACGACAGGGCAAATCCACAGCATGTTTCAATAAAAACACTTATTTCACGCGGGAATTGGCGTTAACGTGAAGCGTTAGCATGCTACCCTGCTGCTAGTTGCGGCTAGCGATGCTAGTCAGCTGAGGGACGCCGCCAGCCTGCTGTGATGTTACCTGCTTTCACATCACTTCCGGAAAGCAGTGGCTGCGCTGCCTTGTTGGGGCAATAATTCATCAGTTAGCTGCTTGGTGTGGGGTGATGAGTGAGGGTTAGCCCTCGGACCTGTGGTGAAGCAGCCGGGTCAAGGCCGAGGCTCCTGGAAGCCCAGCAACCTTCGCTGCTGCCTCTTATTTCAGGAATATCTGCTCTGTTAGAGCTAAACCACCACGATCCTCATTGGATAACAGTGGAGAGCAGGAGTCATGCACAGGTGTTCAAATAGCAACCCAACAGAAATCACGCCTGTTCAACGTCTCCTTAGACTTGGACAACTTTTATTATCATTTTCTGAAAACGTGTTAACGAAATAGCACTTAATTTAGTGCATCTTTCCAGACAGTTAATGGACATTTCCATTACATAAAGTGAGGCAGTGTTTAAACGTATCTATGATTCTTTTTCTATGTCTGCTTCTGTCTCCTTGAACCCCAGTCGGCCTCAGCAGATGGCCGCTCACACTGAGCCTGGTTCTGCTGGAGGTTTCTTCCTGTTCAAAGGGAGTTTTTCCTCTCCACTGTCGCTACAAGCATGCTTAGTGTGAGGGATTGCTGAAGAGTCAATCAGCTGGTTTGAATAAATCTGACTGGATGATCTGGTTGAACTGTAAAGTGCCTTAAAGGAATAGTACACCCAAAACATGATTAGCCTTCATTTTCTACTCACCCCCATGCTGAACAACACTCTGGAGTACTTTTTGATATCTCAAATGCATCTGGAGACCCGGGAGGCTTCTTGCTGTCTGCTGACATTCAAATAATGGAGGTCTATGGCGCCCGAGGCAGAAAGGTCCATAAAAGTCCACAAAAAAACGTGTCATTATTCCTCCATACTGCTCGTCCAATGTATTCCAAGTGTCCTGAGTGGGTAGCATCCAGAATTTACTCGAAACGAAGTCATTTAGAATGTTTTTAGAGCATAAACAGTAGTGTATAGGATTTCCTAAAAGCGCGTTCACGAGTCTACGGAAACCGCGGCAGACCAAACCAGATGAAAGTGCGCATTCAGCTCAGCAAAGAACTCATGCTCTTCCTCAACACTGAAGTCCTCAGACATTTTTCTTTCGTTGTTTCTTTCTTTGCACAGGTAAACAGCACATTTCTTCTTCTACGCTTGCATTATCGGCAGAGCAGATGCTGAATGCGCACTTTCATCTGGTTTGGTCTGCCGCGGTTTCCGTAGCGTCGTGAACGCGCTTTTAGGAAATCCTATACACTACTGTTTATGCTCTAAAAACATTCTAAATGACTTCGTTTCGAGTAAATTCTGGATGCTACGCACTCAGGACACCTGGAATACATTGGACGAGCAGTATGGAGGAATATTGACACGTTTTTTGTGGACTTTTATGGACCTTTCTGCCTCGGGCGCCATAGACCTCCATTATTTGAATGTCAGCAGACAGCAAGAAGCCTCCCAGATCTCCAGATGCATTTGAGATATCAAAAAAGTACTCCAGAGTGTTGTTCAGCATGGGGGTGAGTAGAAAATGAAGGCTAATCATGTTTTGGGTGTACTATTCCTTTAAGATGACGTGTGTTGTGAATTGGAGCTATAGAAATAAACTGAACTGAACTGAATTGATCAAATGTAAACAGTTTGGGAGAAAAAACATGCTGCTAAACGATCAGCGGGTTCCAGTTTAAAGGGGAACGCCGCTTTTTTTTTATCAGCTGCGTCTGAATAGAGCCGGCAGTGAGGAAGGAGCTATGAGAGGAAGCAGGTGCTTCCTCTCATAGCTCCTTTAGCAGAGTGAAATCTTGGTTTTAGATTTTTTCAGAATTAGCAGGTATCTTTACCCTCCACCTAGTCATCCATTCAACCATCCACCCATCGTCTGTGAATCTTTGAAAGAACTACGATCAGCTGATTCAGAGGTTGACTGATAAAAACCTGGATGTGCTCAGTTTTTGCACAAGGTCATAGTGATCTATTTCGGTCATAGTGATCTGTTTCACCATCACTTCAAACTGCTGTGAGCGTTTCCAAACAGCTCATTGGTCGTTACTCCACTCATTCAGCTAAATAAATGCTGAGGTGTAACTGTTGGGTTTGATTCAGGTGTCCCTACTGGGCTTCTATTGAATAGACTGGAGTTTGCATGTTCTCCCTGAGAGTGTGTGGGTTCTCTCCGGGTACTCCGGCTTCCTCCCACAGTCCAAAAACATGACTGTTAGGTTAGTTGGCTTCTCTAGATTCTCCTTAGGTGTGAGTGTGAATGGTTATTTGTCCTGCCTGTCTGTGTTGCCTTGGCGACCTTTGGTGGACCCTGCCTCTCACCCATAGACCGCTGGAGATGGGGACCAGCACCCCTCGACCGCCCAGCAGGGATAAGCATGAAGGAAACTGGATGGATTGGTGATTCCCTTCTGTCAGATTATTACCTGATTAAATGGAGAAGAACTCCTCCGACGAGCGGAGAATATTCCATAGGGTGTCCGCCATGATGGATCACATCTTTAGGCTCTGCATGGCGTAGGGGGGTCCGGGGGAATCCTTCCCTGGAAAATGTTCAAATTTAGACTCTGAAAGTTATTTCCTGCATTTTGAAGGTGTAAAGCAGCTAACCTTGTCTTTGTTGTATGTGAGCTTGACCAGAGATGGAAATATTATCAGCAAGACATGAGATCATTTTAGCCTCAATATTATGTTTCATAGGTTCATTCAAACAAGTGTAACTTAAACTTACTGCTAAAGGTGAAACGTTGTGTGTAATGACAAGTATGTTATGTTAATATCTTTTTAATGTAGACAAGTAGCACTTTAAGACCTTTGCACTTTGTTAAAGTCGTAGGGAGATCATATTTAAATATCAAATCATTCTGGCTTAACCATGTTTATAAATGTTCTCTTCATCAAGCGATATTTTCCAAAAGTTTAGAAAATTCGTATTTAAAAAAAAAATCCTCTCTTAAAATCTGTTTTTTTCCCTGTTATTTCTGCAGGCCAGTTATTTATACGTCAGCCTGAACACCTATATTCGACCAATCACGCAGGCACCTCTTCAATTAATAGCTGTCTAATGGATTTACCATTAGGACCCCCCCCCCCCCAGTTCATCAGCTGGGCCTGTTTTTAGCTGGAGGCTGAATGCTGTGAAGCTCAGTAAACCTGCTGATACCTTCAGTTTGCCTGACAATTTCATTTTTTGGATAAATTCCTGATCCGTTTCAAAAAGCGTCTCCTGGCTTCAGTCTTCATTCACTCACCGGTTCCTCGTTCCCGGTTCTGACGTTCTTCCTCACTTTGGAACCCATTGATTTAATGTTTCATCAAACTAACTTTAATGTTTTATAAATAGAGGCGAGTAAATATAAAAACAGTTTTTAAATGATTACGGCTCCTCAGGATGTTCTGATGGAGAGCAGAGCGTTCAGGAGTGACGCTTCAAGGGTTTCACTAGTTATCGTTACTGATCACAGTAACTAGTTACCAGGCCGGCTAACTATGCTGTTACTGCTTACCTGATATTCTAGCATCACTTTCTTGTTTTTCAATTTTAGATTCAACGAGTTTAATTATTAAAATGTTTAATATTGATTAATAAATTTACTTTAAAGAGAAATATATCCATTTAGTAATTACTGATCGAATTCTATAAATTCAAAATGAAAATATTGATCCATCCTTTTATCCAACCAACCATCCATCCACCTGTCTGTCCATCCAGCCGTCCATTATCCATTCGTCCATCTGCTCATCCAGGCTGTTAGCAATGCGTATGCCCTGTTTTTCCCTGGAAACTTTGCTAAAAATTTCAGAAGCAGCTGGAGTTGAAAAATGTAACTTTAGCTGCTGGACGCGCCGCATCAACCACTGAGAGAAGCTGATCTGGGAGCTGGCAGGGAGTCAGACGCAGCACTGCTGATTAGGGGTGTGAGAAATAATCGTTTTGGCGATATATCGTGATATTCGGCTGCCCAATATAATATCGATCTTAAACTTCTTAGTATCGATTTTCAAAAAAAAAAATGGTTACATAAATCATTGATGGGAAAATGGGCTACCTCTGCACCACCACTCTGGCAGAAAGCGCTGTGGAGCCCTTTAACTGTGCGTGCAGCACCAAATCTCGATTTGAGGCAGTCACAGTGGAAGAAAACCCCAAGCAACATGGATAATAATACCTAATCAATATTTTCTGATGAAAATATACAGCACTTGCTGTTTTATCTCATCATTTGATTTTGATAGCTGGGGAAAATATGGCAATATATAGTGATACTGCAATATCGTGATAATATCATATCGTGACCCAAGTATCGCAACATGTATCGAATCGCAACACTCAAGCCAATACTCACCTCTACTGCTGATGCAGAGCGCTATGATCACTCCTCTGAAACAGTTTATTAACGCCTAAATTAACTTCAAATGTAGAAAGCTGCCGGCAGAATATGTTGGCTTTTATGATCTGCAGTTTGGATTACGTACGTGGAAAATGCCTTCCAGCCGCCGCAGCAAACCGCGAGGAGGCAGCGGGCCTGAGGCAGCTGCTGCTGGGGATTCCCAGTGACAGCGCAGCGCCGGTATGTGGGGGTCTGAGCGGCTCCCACAGGGAAATAATCTTTGAAGGCAGGATGGTAATCTGGATGAACTGACTGCACAGACCATGTTTTCAGGAGGACTTTCTCACTTCAACAGAGATTCTAACTACTTTCTACCCGCTGATCACAGCTAATATAGCAAAGCTGCTCTCTGGCATCGAACACAGGAGCAGCAGAAGCTTCTGGACTCACTTTACTGGACGTCTGACCTTAATGTGGTCAAGCATCAGAAATGAAGCAGAAGCTTCTTTGATGCCGTTCGGTGTGAACGTCGCATTTCACTTTCTGATTCTTAACCTATGAAACATAATATTATAGCGAAAAATAATCTCTTATCTTCCTGATGAAATTTCCATCTCTAGTCAGTAGGGTTGTCACGATACTAAACTTTTCAACTCGATACCGATACTAAGTAAAATATTCGATACTCAATGTTATTTTTGATACCACAAGGATAAAAGCAAAAACTCCAAAATTCTACAGAAATGTTTTAATTAATATACAAAGTACAATAAATAGATAAATAAATACAATAAACAATATTTTGAGGTTGTATGCTGTGCAAAATATTAAGCAAGCTTGATAAAAAAAACTTACAAAATTAAAATGAAGTGTTCCTTCCTTGGCTATGCTTTACACACATAACAATGACGCTAGCCAAACCGGTTAACAAACAAAAATAATTCTCAGCAGCTGCACCTGTTACAGAAAAATGCCTGAAACTGAAAAGTGCGTAGATTTATTCAATCACACAGTGTTTCCTCTAATCTGCGCAGAAGATGAATGACTGTTTAGGTGCCACTGTTGGTAGCACTGTATCGATACTTTTGAAAATGAGTATTGTAGGGCTGGGTACCAAACGTCAGTTCTTTTATGGTACCGACCGAAATGCTTCGGTTCTACAGAGTATCGAAACATGCCTCGTCTTTAGGTACCAAGTTTCGGTGATTGGCTGTAACACTTAAAGGAATAGTACACCCAAAACATGATTAGCCTTCATTTTCTACTCACCCCCATGCTGAACAACACTCTGGAGTACTTTTTTGATATCTCAAATGCATCTGGAGATCTGGGAGGCTTCTTGCTGTCTGCTGACATTCAAATAATGGAGGTCTATGGCGCCCGAGGCAGAAAGGTCCATAAAAGTCCACAAAAAACGTGTCAATATTCCTCCATACTGCTCGTCCAATGTATTCCAAGTGTCCTGAGTGGGTAGCATCCAGAATTTACTCGAAACGAAGTCATTTAGAATGTTTTTAGAGCATAAACAGTAGTGTATAGGATTTCCTGAAAGCGCGCGCCGGCGCATTCATGACGCTACGGAAACCGGCAGACCAAACCAGATGAAAGTGCGCATTCAGCGTCTCCTCTGCCGATAATGCAAGCGTAGAAGAAGAAATGTGCTGTTACCTGTGCAAAGAAAGAAACAACGAAAGAAAAATGTCTGAGGACTTCAGTGTTGAGGAAGAGCATGAGTTCTTTGCCGAGCTGAATGCGCTGGTTTGGTCTGCCAGCTTCCGTAGCGTCGTGAGCGCGCATGTGCGCGCTTTCAGGAAATCCTATACACTACTGTTTATGCTCTAAAAACATTCTAAATTACTTCGTTTTGAGTAAATTCTGGACGCTACCCACTCAGGACACTTGGAATACATTGGACGAGCAGCATGGAGGAATATTGACACGTTTTTGTGGACTTTTATGGACCTTTCTGACTCGGGCGCCATAGACCTCCATTATTTGAATGTCAGCAGACAGCAAGAAGCCTCCCAGATCTCCAGATGCATTTGAGATATCAAAAAAGTACTCCAGAGTGTTGTTCAGCATGGGGGTGAGTAGAAAATGAAGGCTAATCATGTTTTGGGTGTACTATTCCTTTAACGTGATTGCGTCATCCAGGAAAAATACACAGGTGGTCACCCCTACAGCCAGGGTTCATGTGTATCTGTTGTGAACTGGTTGCGAGCGTCGCAGAACCCCTTTAAAATGCCCCCCAGGTCAAAAGTGCGACTTCACTTTATTAAGACTGATGCCAATAGTGCGCAATGCAATACATCTGGCACGGAAACATTTTAAGAGCAGAAAGTTGCTCGGTGTTTGACTGCAAGAAGAGCGGACCGCAGCCGGCGCCACCATCTTCCTCTCAGCAGCCCGTGGGCGGAGCAAAGCCAGAGCGGAGTGAATCATGTTACGTTCACACCGGACGCAGCAAAATCACGTCTGCTGCTTCATTTTTGCTGCTTCTACCAGCTTCTGACGCGCGGCTGAAGCAGCTTTGCTGCTCTGGCTGCGCGGTCGAAAAGTGTGTCTGACGCGCGTTGGGCGGAGCTACTCTATCCTTTCTCTGCCTTGCAGCTATATTTGCTGTGATCAGTGGGAATAAAGTTGTTTTATTATGTTGTTAAGTGGGAAAATCCACCTGAAAACTTAATCAGTGCAGTCAGTTCATCCTGCCTTCCAATATTTCTGTTGGAGCCGCTCAGACCCCCCCATACCAGCGGTGCGCTGTCAGTAGGATCCCATTCAACGGGCTTGTTTGTCAGACATGGTAATTTTTCTAAAGGAAAACTGCTAAGTTAAAAGGTCCTCACAATGTAACAGTGAATATTAGACACTGAATTTTTTTTTTATGTAAGAGGCAAAATGTAAATGGAAAAATCAGAGCTTAAAATAAAACTTAAGATTTTTACTTTTTTATGTTGTGTAATTTTCTTTTTCTTTGAATTTATATTATAAAACTGGTATCGAAAAAAGTATCGTTCAGGAACCGGTATCGAAGTGAAGGTATCGGTATTGGTACCGGGACAACTTTTCAGTATCAATACTTTTTTGAGTATCTATACTTTTGACAACCCTACTAGCCAAGCTCACATACTTCCCATAATCAGGAGGAAAGTAGTGTTGGAACAAAGAAGTTAGCTGCTTTCCACATCAAAATGCAGGAAATAACGTTTCAGAGTCTGAATTTCAACATTTTCCAGGGGAGGATTCCCCCAGACCCCCCTACGCCATGCAGAGCCTAAAGATGTAATCCACAACGGTGGACACCCTATGGAATATTCTCAGCTAAAAGCCTGCGTCCATCATCCATCCATCCATCCATCATCCGGGTCACCGTGGGGCTGCTTTCCAGCAGGCTGAAGGTGGAAGATGTGTTCCCAGTTTTACATTTCATCATCCATATTCATAAATGTGTCAGTGGTGCTCACGTACTCTGCAGAGCTCTAGCTTGATGAAGCAGCTGATGTTGGATGTCTGATTCTACCACAAGGAGCAAAAACGGATCTTTAATTTACAGTAGCAGCCATTCAAAATGGCTGCTACTGTAAATTACCAGTCAGATTAACTGTAAATTCCCAGTCAAACGCCAGCTGAATGGCAGCCAATTTCCCTGCAACTCCCATTAAAATCCCCTCCAACTTCCAGCCACTGGCCTTCTACAGGGCGTGCACATTTGTTTTACTCTGACTCTACCCTTTCACTGAATTACAGGGTCTGACCAGGAGATGGCGCCTCTCTTTAGATCTTAATGTCCATAAATCATGACAGAATATTTTAGATGTTTAAAAAGTAATTTCAGGGGACCAGCCAAGGGCCCATCAAGGAAAGTGGGAAACTTTGAATGGCTGCTACTGTATGCATGTTTATCAACCTCATTCTACAGATTCCAACAGGTTGAAATAGGCAGCAGTCTGACTGCATAGAGTGGGGCGGATGTGGGAGTTAGAGGAAATAATTCTGTCCTTTTCCTCAGAGGTAACGGCGTGTCATCCCTTCAGGACGAAGTGAAGCCCAGAGAGCTTGGACCGCTGTATGACGTACTGCCCTCCAGGCGCCCTGAGCAGACGGCGGCGCTCAGTGATGCCTACGCTGCTGCAGAAGCACATCAGGAGGAGGGTGAGTTCCTGCTGCCGCCGTGCTCCTCGGTGAAAACAGATCCGTGGTGCGATTCATTCAGGTCGGTTATATAGCCTCGTTCCCCTCCTTCCATTCTCTGTCATTCAGGTCAGAGTCGTTCCAAAAATAAAAAAAAACGTCAACTAGACTTTGTTTCAAAGTTTGAAGACGTTTTGTTTCCCTTCCAGGAAGCTTTTTCAATTAAAAGTGCCTTTAACGACCCCCCTTTCAGAGACATAGACAGGTATGGGGCATTGCAGGCTAACAAAGAAGCCAAACGACCCCCATTCCAAAGGGGGGGACCCGTTCATCCGTTTCTATTTGCATGTTTTCTAAACTAAAACCAGGCTTTGTTGGGCTGCTGGATAAAACCTGGAACTAAACGCTATTTCTGACATTTTGAAGTGAAAAAGCTTCCTGGATGGAAGAGAAACGTCTTCAGACCTGGAAACAAAGTCCAGTGGATTGATTTTAAACGTTTTTTGGAATCAATGCTGATAGTTTGGAGATGCTCTACTTTTTGGGCAGTAATTTGAGGTCAATTTCTTTTTTTCTTTTTATTTGTTTTTTGTATTCTGCACAAAAGAGCCCTTTTTCATTTGGAAATGTATTTAGTATTGTTTGTTTTTGCTTTGTTTCCTGTTTGGTTGCTGGGATCTTGTTAAAGGTCTAATTCTGACACCCAAAGATGACATGTGGCAGAAAAGCTTTGAGATGGAAAAAAATAAAATAAAATTAAACGTGAAACCAAAAGCTTGAATGAGTATATAGTGCAATGTTATGCACTCTATTGTTTGTTGTTGAAGGTAATTTAAACATATTGTCATATATATATATATATATATATATATATATATATATATATATATATATATATATATATATATATTAGGGATGCACGATATAATCGGCCCCCTATCGGTATCGGCCTTAAAACTGAATATCGGACATCGGCCCCCCCACCGATATTTAACCAGATATTTGATCAGCTTCTGAGTTTCTAAAGTCTAAAAAAAAAAAAAATACTACTTCTTCTTCTTCCTCAAAAACTTCTTTTTTACAGACTTAAAAACTTCTGAAGACGAGGGAAAAAATATTGATCCATTAAAATATCCCAATATCTTCATATGCTGATATATTGCCATTTAAAAACACCATATCAATCTCTTTTACTAATGAAATATTGCTATATGTCATCGTTATGCTACGAAATCCCCCGAAAATTCACCAAATGTTGCCATATTTTTATATGTTGATATATTGACGCGGTATCGATCTATTTTACTAACAAAATCTCACAAGAATTTGCAAAATATCACGAGAGTTTGTAACAGAACGATGAAATTTCACCAGATTTTGAAAGTAAAATAGATCGATAGATCGTTTTTAAAAATCAATTTGATATCAGCATATGAAAATACATTTGAGTATATTATTTTTCAAAGTGAAATGGATAACAAAACTGCTATTTTCAATGGCTACTTATTTTTGTCCAGCTTTAACATCGGTATCGATATCGGTTATCAGCTACATGAGTTTTAAAATATCGGCATATCGGATATCGGCCAAAATCCCAATATCGTGCATCCCTAATATATATATATATATATGTATATGTAGTGTATTGCAATTATAGCCCAAATAAATTGTGATGTTAGATTTTTATTACATATCCCTGAACCCGATCACCATGAACGGGTTTAATTCCAACTCTTAGCTTATAACAGACCTGTTGCTCCAGATTCTAGTATTTTGGACTTTTTCCCCCTCAGACTCCATCTAAAGGGTTTAAAGTTCTGCTGACATCAGTCCTGTTTTTGTTCCCAGCTGGATATGAAGTTGAACAAAGTGTCTGTGATACAACATTTGGTTGGAAGTCGCTGGGGGAAGAGTTGAGACCCAATGACGTGACAACGGATCCCACTACTTTTCAGCATGGAAATTGTGCTTTAGCTTCAAAGGAAATGAGGAAATCGCAGGGTGAGCTATGAACTACATCTCCTCATGTTGGAATGACCAGTTCTATTCAGTTTATTTCTATAGCACCATCATGTCATCTCAGGTCACTTTCCAGTTCACCAGATCATCCAGTCAGATTGATTCAAAGTTTTCTATCTAAGGAAAACCAGCTGATTGCATCGACTCATTGACTCTTCAGCAATCCCTCACACTAAGCATGCTTGTAGCGACAGTGGAGAGGAAAAACTCCCTTTGAACAGGAAGAAACCTCCAGCAGAACCAGGCTCAGTGTGAGCGGCCATCTGCTGAGGCCCACTGGGGTTCAAGGAGACAGAAGCAGACATAGAAAAAGAAGCATAGATACAAAAGGCAACTGTCAACCAGCTCCACAGGCGGCCCCGTCCAGGAAACACACAGCCAGGCAGACGAGCTCTTATGAGAAAAAGCAGAGAGAGCAGAATGTTAGAGATTGAACTAACAGATTCTGCAGAGTGGGAGAATAGAGATAGAATGAAGCAGAATGATGAAAAAGGGGTCCCTATGTCCTCCAGCAGTCTAAGCCTATAGCAGCAGAACTATAGAGATAGATCAGGATAACCTGAGCCACTCTAACTAGAAGCTTTATCAAAAAGGAAAGTTTTAAGCCTAGCCACTATGGTCTCCATGAAGCGAGATCTGACCTGTTTGACGTTTTGGTTTTGGGTTTTGTTGTTGCAGACAGAGGGATGACTCACTCTGAGGAGTCTCGACTGGCCAACCTCCTGCGCAGGGTCTCCAGGGAGGACGATCGTGACCGGAGGCTGGTCACCCTAAAACAGCTGAAGGAGTTTATCAGCCATGGAGAGAGCAAAGTGGTCAGTCCTGCCGTGTTCTGTTCAAGTCTTCCTGTGAAGCATCACACATCTAGAACTTAGTAACAGCACCCAGAAAGCCCGGTTCTGGTCTAAAGCCAGAAGTATTGACCCAGAATAAGTGCCTCCTACCTTCTGTCCTCTTTCAGACCATGGTCAAACAGCTGGACAACATCCTCAGCACCCTGAACGACATCATGAACGAGAGGTAAGTTGAAGCTGTGGTCCTGTGTGAAGGAGCGCTGGGCACAGATGGTGAATGGAGGAACTGAAGCCAGATTCCTCTCAGGCATTTGGTTTCACTTTGTATCAGAAACTTTAATCGTAGATCAACTTCATTGGAAAACCAGACCTGCATTGTGATCAGTGCTGGCTATTGAACCGACCTGTTTGAATTCAAATAAAACTCTCTACAGTATTTAAATGTTTTCTAACCTCATGTTCCTCTCTGTGATCAGCGGGACACACCGTACCACACGTTTATACTTTTAGCAAAGGTGTGAGGTGCTCACACTGGCTGGTGTGGACGCTCACATACATAATAAGGCCTCATCTGGGGACTTGGGAGGGGAAACGCAAGGTTTCCTGGCCCATGATGACGGGTTTAACAAGGGGTTAAACCACTAAAGCCGGGCTTACACTACGATTTTTTCAATCTTTGCACGCAGCTACAGCTCAGACTGTACGACCAAACCTCAGGGTTTAAAAGTTCCCAGCTCACCATGTTTGTTTCATACTGCGACCCGACGCTCTGATGAGTGTTGCCCGGCTTTAGACCATTGCTCTGAACCTGTGCTGAGCGGAGTCTATTATCTGACAGACCGACCCGCCGGAGCCACGCCGTCCCCGTTCATCACAGGTGTTAAACAGGAGGGCAGTGAGCGCAACTCAGGTAGAAATAAGGGAAGGGAAGCAAATATATGTAAAAGTCCCTCTGTGGTAGGTTTGAAATGTAAACTCTTATTAATTATTGGTACAAAGAATACACTTTTTTTTTTTTTTTTTCCAACTTTCTTTATTGAATTTTACAACTTGACACACAACAAACAATGAAAACACAGTAGTTTTCAAAGAAGTACAAGCTAATTTCTCCCAGAACCCAATCCACCCCAAACCCACCCTGTCCAGGTCCAAGCACAGGACAGACTGCTGGGATCCAGTCCCTATAGCAGTTTCTAGCAACACAACTTACACACACATCCATCCACACATATTCGAAAGGAGGCAGGAAAAGAGATTAAAAAAAAAAAAAAAAAAAAATTATAATAATACTGATACTAACTAAATAAATAAATATGTACTTAAGCGTGCATATTATTAAGTTAAACAAGTATATAAATAAATTACAAATGAAAAAAAAAAAAATAAATAAAAAAATAAAATAAATAAATAAAAAAATAAATAAATAAATAAATTATAGGACGAAGAGTATATATCGGTTAAAAAGAAAAGAAATGGGTTGGATATCAATGAGAAGGCCTATAGATAATTTAATTCTCTTCTGAATCAGGTAGCAAGGTCATGTTACCCACAATAGATAGGAAAGGTCTCCAAGTCTCCATAAATTTACTGGAGGAACCCTTAAGTGAAAATCTGAGTTTTTCCAGCTTCAGGTTGTAAAGAACCTCTCTGACCCAATAGTCATGAGACGGGGGGACGTTTAGTTTCCATCTAAGTAAAATAAGTCTTCGAGCCAAAAGGGAAGTGAAGGCTAGGGCTCGTTTCAAAGAACGCGAAAGGCCCGGGTCTGGAGGGATGCCAAATATAGCCGATAACGGATTGGGGAGAATTGTCTGATTATATGCTTGGCTTAGTGTTTTAAAAATGTTACCCCAATATCCGGTTAGCTTTGGGCACGCCCAAAACATGTGGGTATGGTTAGCTGGTGACTGTCCGCACCTATTGCAAATGTCGCTGACTGATGGGTAAATCTTTGCTAATTTTGAGTTTGTGTAATGCGCTTTATAGAATATTTTGCACTGTATTAAAACATGCCGGGCACAGATCGAGGACTTATGAATTAAATTCTTAGCAGCCTCCCACTGCTCCTCATCTATCCCAGTACCCAACTCCCCCTCCCATGCTGTTTTAACAAAGGCTGCAGGTCTTGAGGTGTTATTATTATTGATAGAATTATATACAAATGAAATAAATTTTTTCCGTTGTGGGTCTAATTGTAGAAGAGTATCTAAAAGTGTTTCAGGGGGTCGATTAGGAAAATGTGGAAACACCTTTTTAACGTAATCCCTGGCCTGAAAGAACCGAAAGAGATGAGAATTAGGCAGTTGGAATTTTGATGAAAGTTCAGCAAAGGATGAAAAGATATTATTGTTATAAAGATCCTTTACAGTCTTGATCCCTCCGTCGTGCCACAAGTTAAAAACCGAATCCGTGACTGAAGGCATAAAGTTACAATTTTTAGCTAAGGGGATTTGTATCGAAGGTCCATGCAGGCCAAACTGTTTCCTGAATTGGATCCAAATCCTTAATGTGGCTTTAACAATGGGATTGTTCTCTATCAGGGAGAGGGGAAGGGGGAGCTGAGAGCAAAGCAGAGAGGACAACGAATAACGGCTAGATGCCCTTTCAATCTGCACCCAGGCAGGTGAAGCCTCAGCATCACACCCCCAATATAATAGTTTCTGTATATTAGCTGCCCAGTAGTATTGCCTAAAGTTGGGAAGAGTAAGTCCACCCTCACAAGTTGGGGACTGTAGCACTGATTTACGAAGTCTGGCAGGTCTTTTAAGCCATAAGAATTGGGATATTTTCTTATCCAACTTGTCAAAAAAGGACTTTGTAATTAGTATAGGAACATGTTGAAAAAGGTAGAAAAATTTAGGTAAAATTATCATTTTAACCAGGTTCACCCGTCCCATCAAAGATAATGGTAATAAGGACCACCTGTCAAAATCTTTCTCCATGTTCTCTAATAACGGGGAAAAATTCTTGTTCATCAAGCTGGACATAGAAGAACAAACAAATATCCCTAAGTAACGAATCCCCTGCTTCAGCCCATTTAAAGGGTGAAATTGAGCGAGGAAGGTTTCCTGCCAAAGAGTTCAAGGGAAATAATTGGCTTTTCTGATAGTTGATCTTATAACCAGAAAACTTGCTATACTGTTCTAGAATGTTAAGGAGCACTGGAAGAGATGTATGAGGATCAGAAATGTATAAGAGTAAGTCATCCGCATAAAGGGACACCTTATGGGTTACACCTGATCTCAGAATACCCTTAAAGCCCTCCTCTGCACGCAACCAGATTGCCAGAGGCTCTATCGCGATAGCAAATAGCAAGGGAGACAGAGGGCATCCTTGCCTCGTGCCCCTTCCAAGAGGAAAGGGTGAAGACACCGTGTCATTTGTTTTAATTGAGGCCACTGGTGATGAGTACAACAGCTTAACCCAAAGGATAAAATTGTTATCAAAACCAAATCTTTCCATTACTTTATATAAAAATCCCCATTCGACCCGATCAAAAGCCTTTTCGGCATCGAGAGATACAATTATTTCAGGTGATAAGGTGCCTGGCGTATGAATAATATTTAGAAGCCGTCTGGTGTTATGGAATGATTGTCGCCCGGTCATAAAGCCTGTCTGATCTAATGAAATAATGCGGGGAAGTACCCGCTGGAGGCGGGTTGCAAGAATTTTAGATAGAATCTTCAAATCTACATTTAGGAGGGAAATAGGTCTATAGCTACTACACAGTGAGGGGTCTTTATCATTCTTAAGGATCAGCGATATTGTAGCCTCTGATAAGGTGTTAGGCAGGCGCTGGTTTGAGAAGGCCTCATTATACACATCCGTTAATATTGGCGCCAAAAGATCCCCATTGGCCTTATAATATTCTGAGGTGAAACCATCTGGGCCAGGAGATTTGCCCAAACTTAAAGATTTGATAGATTCTTGCACCTCCATTATAGTGATAGGCCCACCCAGACCTCCCCCCAGTTCACCATCTATCCTTGGATAGATGATATCATCAAGGGAGTCATGTGACAAGGAAGGGGCTAGGGAGGTATATAGTTCTGAATAGAAAGACGTAAATCTATCATTTATCTTCCTGGGATCAGAGAGAATCTCCCCTGTAGCTGATCTGATGAATGGGATTAATTTGGAGGTTGCCTGAGCTCGCGCTTGGAAAGCTAAAAGTTTCCCCGCTTTGTCACCAGATTCAAAGAACCGCTGTCTTGTCTTGGTTAGCTGAAGTAGAGCATTCGTAGATGTAGTAAGATTGAAATCGGTTTGAAGTTTTACACGTTCATTGTAAAGGTCAAGATCCGGGTTGGTTGAATATCTAGAATCCACCTCTTTAATCTGGTTCAGTATATCATTGGTGTAACGTAACCTCTTCGCTGTCAAATTAGAAGTAAAGCTAATGAGCTGACCTCTTATATATGCTTTGGAGGCTTCCCAGAGGGTGCTTCTCGATATATCAGGTGAGTCATTAAGATCAAAGTAGAGTGAAAGTTGATTTTTTAAAAACTGTTTATAGTCTTCCTCTGTAAGCAGTATAGAATTAAATCTCCAAAATTTAAAACGAGATTGACAGAGTAATTCTAAATCTAAGGAGACTGGAGAGTGGTCAGATATAGCTATAGTGTGATAATCACAGGCTTTAACTTTAGAAAGCAGTCTTATATCAATAAGGAAAAAATCTATGCGTGTATAGGTATGGTGGACATGGGAAAAGAAGGAAAACTGTTGAAGTGCCGGGTTCCTATGTCTCCACGGATCTACCAGTCCCAACTCAGTTTTATGAACATTAAGACTTTTTGCAGCATTAGATAATGAGATTGTTTTTTTTGAAGATCTGTCCAAAAGGGCATCCTGAATCATATTAAAGTCTCCTCCTAAAATTAAATAATAGTTTTCAATATCAGGCATAGACGAAAAGAGTCTAGACACAAAGGTGTCGTCATCCCAATTTGGACCGTAGACGCAGGCTAGTATGGCCAGAGAGTTTTGTAGTTTGCCGAACACAATTATGTAACGGCCCTCCGTGTCCGCTATTATTTTGTGTTGTTCAAACATAATATTATTACGAATAAGTATGGCTGTTCCTCTAGCCTTGGCGTTGAATCTAGAGTGAAATATATGGCCAATCCAGCTTCTTTTAAGTCGCATTATTTCTCTATTACGAAGGTGTGTTTCTTGTAAGAAGAATATGTCCCCTTTAAGTTGCTGCAAGTGAGCCATGACCTT